ATCTTGATAGATTCAGTATCGCAAATCCAAAAGCAAAATATGGACAGTAAACATTTATGTTCAGAAATTCTGTTCCATTTACCACTAAAAATGCAATAAAAGGGCCAGTTCAAAGACCCATATGTAAAACTTTGTCAATCATTTTACCACTAATATAGATCAGAAAATAAAACGTTAATAAAAGCAGCTATAGATCTGGCCCAGATTAAGACAATATAAGCCTTGACAATATCCCTCAATCCATCTGAAATTGTTATAATAGACTTTAAAGCTTGCCAATTAGATTTACATTGGTTTAATCTACACCTTAATTTTACATATTTATTTTTTTTGGTCACCTGTTGTGAAAATGTGAAAGATACAGAACAGTTTATAGGTATGAATTGCAAGCCTACGACAGCAATTCTGTTTAATATTGTGTATTAGGAGTTATCTTATTAGTGCATCTACCCAAGCATGGTAATTGGTTTGTATACATCAAGATAGTTACTGCTTATAGACTGAACTCTAGTATTTGCACATTGTGTTGAGCTTATTTGTACTTCCTAATGCTAAATTGTCACAAAGTTTGCCAATTTAGAACTGTAAATGTGATCATATAATTGCCAATTAAAACATCTGTTAAGAATTTTTTTTTTAAATGACTGTGCTAGAATATGTTAAGAATAATTAAAATATTAAACCAGTGCAGGAAGGAGAGTAGGCCTAGAAAGCAAGTTCTATGTAGAAGTCCAGTGAAACAAAATATAGCAGTTCCATAAGTCTTGATCACCTTCCTTGACCATTCCCTACCTAATCCTAGGTGAGGGTGGTGCTCCACCAGCGTCCAGCTGTTATCATCCACACAATGACTTTTGTAAACCAGCACCTGGCAGAAGTCCCTGGCTGTCATGTCTGCTAGAATCTCCACCATTTTGCTTGTCCCATCTTCACTAAAGACTTTAACCACCTGTAACATAAAGGACACACTTAATAGCTTGACGGTCTATCACAATGCATTAACAATAACCTTGCCTTATCTTTTGCCTAACTGATGTCATTGTGCTAAGAACATATATCATGCTACCACTACGGGTGAAACTTTAGAATCCTGTGAACTAATTAAGCTGTACTATCACTTTGCACTGCAGTGATAAGTGAATCTATTGTTACTTTTTCAACTTTCTAAAAAGGCGGGGGTTGAACAACTGTGTATACCCTAGGTATTTGTGCTTCTCTGGTCTGTCTTTTAAAAACTCCCAACAAACTGGAAAAATATAGGTACATAACTGATGCCATAACTGACATCTGTAGAACACTTTTTTTTTTTTAAAGAAAGGGATTAAAGCATACATTGTATCACTTTATATCTAAAAAGATATGGCAGCATTGCTACATTAACATTTTTGCTCTTAATTTTTAGACCAGGTTGCCAGTGCAATTTAAATAGATGCTCTGTACGTCTGCGCAGCACATATAGCGCTCATTCTGAAATGATTTAACTGTTATATAATTTTCCCTCTGCAAGACCATATTGGTTTATGACATGCATAATAACTAGCCCCAGGAAAATCCTAACACCTTTGCAGAATTCTACATTCTAGAACTATGAAAAATACCCATATTGCACAGTCACATATGTATACAAGGAGCAGGTTGTCTAAGCTATGACGTGAAACACATGCATGCACACACATTAAAAGACGTGTTAAATTATTTTTAGAACATTTAAACTTGTGCACAAGGATGATCTAATAAATGGGTTTTTAAATGATGATATATGTACTACATACAAATATTTACATGAAATCACATGTGCCAATGCACTCATTCCGTGTAGAGGGTGAAACACAAACTAATGAAGATACCATTAGAGGATTTATTTAATATAAAAATTCTTACCTCTACTGCATGTAAAAGGCAGCAGTCAGGAGAACAAGATGGCATTTTTAAGTCTAGATTGCCTCTTGAAATATTTATATTTTTCCTTTTTTGCCTTCCAAGCCCCTCTTGCAGACTAAAAGCTGCACACTCAGGGTACAATACACAGTGTCAACGGATTACTGTACTGTACCTGTCACGTAGCCAGTCTTATATGGCACTGTTCCTGGAGAAAGGCAGGCAACTCTTCCAGAGCTCCTCTCAAAGGGTTACACAGTCAATCTTTTAGGTTGTGAATCAAACCACATTTTGCAGACCAATCGTAGTCCTCCTGTGACTGATGTAATCATTTCCCACACACTCTTGCAGACTTCCCTTTTTTTTTAAAGCGTTTATAAAAATTAAAAAAAAGGCCACCCTAGAGAAAAATATCTGTTTTATGACCACCCACATAATATCCAAACCCCCAAGATAATAAGTTCAAAGAAAAAATAAAAAGAGGGGGGGACAATTCTCTGCCAAAAGCATGCGTGTACTCTGAATCCTGATTGCTGTGCCAAACTGCACACACAATAGCCCTGCCTGGAAGCAGCTGATGTCATCCACATGCAACTTAAGCATCTAAAACTTCTGGTGTGCGGATAACTCTTTATTTCCCTTTGCAGATGAGGTCAGACGACACTAGAGGGTTGTCTGCTGTGCTACGGATTTAGATTTGCATTTAAAGGAATGCAGTGTAGGCTGTAGTTCCAATGAACAAATGCAGGTAGAGTCATTTTGCATTAATTGCTCGAGCCACTTTTCTACGTGTTTTCTTTTTTTCAAAACTACAGATTCAGAGGGTGTTAAAAACCCCCCCGGGAGATGTTCTATGTATAATGACATCTTAGAAAACTGCACAAAAAGCAGTGCAAAAGCAAGATTAGCAAAATGTAGCTTGCAACTAATTGAGACTTCAATTTACAGTAGATAGTGGAGTAGACAACATGATCGGTTGCTAAGGCTCCACTCACACAGGAGCGATTTGCGCAGAAACGCGCTAAACAAGAAACAATGCATTCCAATGTGCATTGTTCAGACTATTGTGGTGTGCCACAAAATAGTTAGTGTGATTTTAGGGGTGGATTCTGCGTGTTTGCAGCTATTACTATAGCCGCAAACGTGCCTAATCCACGCAGATGTTACCATTTGTGTTTTCGCGTGGCAAATGCTACCGCTATTTGATTGGAGCCTAAAAGTTACTCTGCACACTTGCTGCTGCCCCAATTTTATAAGCCCACATCTGTGTAGTCTTTCAGAGAAAATGTATGCTGCATAACCGTTTATCAATAATGTTTCTACTGTAACAAGACAAATATTATTCAGAAGTTTACATAGCGCCAAACACATTGTAAAGCGCTGCGCAAACTAAGGAAGACATTACAATTACAATTCAAGACAAGATGGTAAGGAGGGCCCTGCCCCTGAGGGCTTACAATCTAAAAGGGAGAGGCAAGTGTTACATGAGGTAGCTGTGTGGGTACAAATAGTTTTAGAACGTGATGGTTGAGTGGTTAGGTTGAGGTGAGATAGGCTTCCCTGAAGAGATGTCTTAAGGGATCAGCTAAAGGCAGAGTGGAAGATAGACGGATAGGTTGGGGTAAAGAGTTCCAGAGGATGGGAGAGATTCATGAGAAGTCCTGGAGGCAAGCATGGGAGGAGTTGACTAGGGAGCTGGAAAGCAGGAGGTCTTTGGAAGAGTGGATGAGACAGTTAGGGTGATACTATGAGGGTATCTTCACACCACATGCAGTGCGTTCCGGTCCAATTCTGTCCGGAATGCACTACATCACATTGTGGTCGGCTCACTATTTCGGGGGGGGGAAGAGACCTGGCAGGCCATTGAAGTGAATGGTACGCCCAACCGGCCACATTGCGATCGCCCGCACGGGACATTATAGCTGCATAATGCTGCACTGTTTTGATCGCGTCGCACCAGACCGAAACGCAGGCACATTGTGCCTTGCAATCCTGTGCGGGCGATCGCATTGCGGCCGGAGGGCGCGACTACGGTGCCATTCACTTAAATGGCCCACCACGCCCCCTCCTTGCCCAATAAAAAGTTAGCTGGCTGCAATGCCAGGCAGTGCGTTCTGGCCAGAACGCACTGCAACTGGTGTGAACAGGCCCTCAGACCAGGTTTGAATTATAGCTGGGGGCAGAGTTGTGGATGGCTTTGTAAGTGGTTAAATATTTTGACTGTTATCCTTTGGGCTTTTGGAAGCCAGTGTAGGGATTGACAGAGGGGGGATGCAGACACTGAGCGGTTGGTTAGGTGGATGAGTCTAGCAGCTGCATTCATGATAGACTGAAGGGGGGGATAGACTGAAAGGGAGACTGAAGGGGGGATAGACTGAAAGGGGGGATAGCCTGTGTAGAGGTAGGCCAATGACGAGGGAGATGTGTTATCAATCTTCAAAGGAAAAGTTGGGGGAAGGTTCACAGGGAGGAGTTTTTGAAAGATTGAGTTTTAAGTGTTGTGACATCCAGACTGATAGGTCAGTTAGTAGTTTAGTGACACGCAAGGATATAAAAACAATCTGCAGTGATCAAGCACAGGGTTAGTTCTCCCAAGGTATATCTAGACAAAATAGAAAATAGATCTCAGCCAATTACAATTCACAGCCATTTTCTGCCACTTTCACACTATATACGGTACATATGAATGCAAAGATAAGGATTTAAAAAGGAAACAGTTTGAGGCCGATACATAAATGTTTTGTCCAGCATACGGTACACTGAAGATGCACTGAATAAAATTATCTGCTCAACTTTTTTTGCTAATGATTCAGATGTTTAGAAGGGTGGCTTCAGAACAACCTGGGATATACACTAAAATCAGGGCTCGACAAATCTCAGGTCGCCATGGCGACTGGAAATCACATCCCGGCCCTTGGTTTGTTAGCCTCCTCCGCCACCGCATCAGGTCTGCTCCCCTCCATTCTCCTCCCTGCTGCGGTCTGTCTCCTTCGATCACCGCCTGCGTCCGCAGAGGCAGCAGGGATAGAAGGGGGGACAGACTGCTGCAGCCGGGGCCCACTGGGGAGGAGAGACCGCCGTCAGCCGTTGTACCCACAAGCCAGCTTACTATTGGCCATTTCAAATTGCAATAGTAGGTTGGCTACTGCCAATCAGCAGAGGAGGACATAAATGAGAACTTTCCTCGGTCAGGTCCCTCTGCCGATTAGTAAGCAGGCAGTGGACGGGTGCAGTAGCCAGCCTGCTATTGCAATTTGAAATGGCCAATAGAAGACTGGCTATTGATCCCAGCAACTGCCTGCTGTGTTTACAGTCAGCTGCTTCAGCCAGGACCTGTCATCCCCCAGCTAAAGCTATTGAAGTGGAAAGGTGATACTAGGGACCTAATAGACCCCTAATGTCACCTTAAAAGAACCCATTATCTCCAATGTGCCATCACATATGGGGCTTGTGAAAAAAAAAAAAAGTAGCCACCACTCCAAGCTCGCTCCCGTGATGTACTACAATCTCATGTTTAGTTTACCAATTTGCATTGAGATTGTAGTCCATCATGGGAGCGAGCTTGGAGCGGTGGCTACTTTACAAAACACACCCCATGTGGAACAAAAGTAGCCACCCTCCAGAAGGAAGGACACTGTCTCAGCATCCAATTCAGAGATGTTTGGAGGATCTACACCCGAGTGATACACAAAGGTATACATTTTGTAATAGTTAGGGTACTTGAATGCATTTTTAAGATTTAACATTTGAGTTTAGCATCACTTTAAATAGGTCAAGCAAAATATCTAATTAAATTAAACTTTATTACAATCAAGAATATCTCCATGTCTAGGATGTTCCAAGTGTCCCTTTCCCTGAGCACAAGTGTTGAATGGCCAGCTATCATTTCTAAAGGTTCTGTCACTATCAGTTAAGCTTTGTCACGCAGACCTTCTATTGCCTATTCCCTTACTTCTGGGTTTAGTGGTTGTTACATATTTGATGCCCCTCCATGATAACCGTATTGAAGACCCTGGATCTAGGGGTGATAATACTGCCCACTTGCATTACTGGCTCCAGTGGAAACTGCAT